AAGAGTGCATAAACAGTTTGCAATTGTTACATGGGCTTATAGACTGTAATACTAACCACAAAGTATAAACACACTACAAGAGAATTCAAACTGCAGATTTAACCAGCAGTAAACCTAAATACAGGATATATCCTAAAACTTCATCTATGACAATACTGAAGGACATAACTAGTGCCAGCATCTGATGCGTAAGTGTTCCACAGGAGGTTAAAGTAGCTGTTCTGTTTGTCTACTCCTCCTGCAACCATCTCTAATTTTCCATGCCCCACCTTTTGGAAGTGGACAGCGCTCACTGAGCTGACCTAAAAGGCTAGCTGATTTCTTCAAGTATCAGTCAGTGAACCTGACTTTGAAAGGCACTAAAAGTAGTGAGCTCATTCAGGAGAAGCCAGGTGGGAAAGAGCATGTATTCACCACTTAGTCCAAGTTTTTCCAAAGCTTGTCTTCAGTGCAAAAAATGACAAAGATTCTGTATATTATTCTAAATAAAAGAGATTTCCTGCCTCCTCTCTTAATGTCGGTCTAGAATTTTATTTGGAAAACACATGCTGGAAATTTGGGTGAAAAGAATTTCTAATAGTGTTCTGCAGCGCTCATTTTCTGGGCAATGCCAGGAAAGCACAATGAGAAGGAAAATACAGAAACTTGGTAACAGACCAAGTTTCAAACCCAAAAGCTTATAATGAAAACTGGAAATGCATTTGTTAGTTCTTGTCTAGCCAGAAGCAGTTGGCCTACACTTAACACAAACTGCTCTATACAGTTTTCTGTTGCAGTGCTGGCTAGTTTTCCTGGTTTGTGTTTAGAAAGTGACCAAATATTGGCCTATGGTGTACAAGCAGAGGCAAACAGTTGTACCCGTGACTAAAATACATGGTTGTCAGCCAAATCACAGGCTATTACTACAGAAACATTTTCCTACCTCTTCACAGCCACAGCACTGTAACTTAGAGTGCTTCTTTATAAAAGATTTCAAGCCTACAGTTCTTCAACTTTTGCTTATGCTAAAGTTCTTCGGCTCTTTCTTAGACTTAACTCAATTGGCAACCAAGTCACAAAATATAAGCCATCCAGCTGGATTAGTGATCCCAACACAATGCAAAGTAGGAATGTTTGTTCACTCAGTTACGTGATGCAGTGACAAAGCTAGGACAGGATAGAACCCTAGGGTCCTCATTTTATACCAGGCTGTCTTTTGTTAAAGTCAACGGGACTTACTAAAACCACCATGAAAATACATTGTTAAGTAGATTAGATTATGTCATAAGAAAGGGAAGACAGCCGCATCTAGTAGAAACACCTTTAGCCCCTCAGACAGGTAGCAGGAGGGAAATGCTGCAAAGGGCTCAATCCACTGGGCTGATTCTGTGTCTACTGCCAGATACTTGGGAGACACTGCGGTCTCAGGAGGGAGAACAAAGTTCTGTAAGAGCATGAAAGGGGGAGCATCAACACAACACGAAGCAGAGAACCCTCTGTTCACCCTCAGGAGCTATCAGGTTCTCAGTGCTATCAGTGCTTGCTGTACAAAACACACTAATAACACGTCCTTGCTGGGCGTCATGCTATGGCTTATCTCACACATCTAATATTTCTAGAGCAGTCCATCCTGGGAGAATTTCTGGCAAAAAGCTGACATTCACAGAAGTATGACTTGTTGCCAGGGAGAGGGCTGGATGCCGCTCCCGAGTGCTCCCTTACATACGGAGCACAGCATTGCCAACACACACCTGACAAGGAGCACTGAGGACGGCTTGCTGTGCCACAGGGCTGTAGAGTAAACTAGCTGCATGCAATAGTGGAAGGTCCCTTGTTGTGCAGATACAGTCCCTCCCCATATGTTAAGGAGTGGAGAATTAGAGAGCAATCACCATGAAAAGAAGTAGTCTTGCACGGAGCAGTTTTAACACTCGCCAGCCACACAGAAAAACTTCACCCTGTGTGCCTGAACACTCATCTTCATGTCTGGTTCACATCCTATTCACCAATTCTTATTACACACATCTAAACTACACATTATTTTTTCACAGATACCATGCCAAGGTATTAACAAGCTGGGAAAAAATATTTCTAATATTTGGCTTTCTTTTTAAAACGGTGTAGGCTGACTCCCAGCATTGAGGTCACAGTAGATACTCCTGCACATCTTACATAAAAACATGGCATCATGTAGTTTTCATTACTAAGTATATTACCTCTGACCAATGAAAAATGATATTGCCTGTGTATGCTATGTCAGGTGTACAGACCAGAAGGACTTTAAGTTTTCTGCTCACTTCAGTCAACCTACCAGAGGAACATTTCACAACATCCAGTAATTCTGCTAAACAATCAAATATGTGCAAATTACATGGGCAATACTTGTTTTATCTATGTTCTTGGAAGGACCTTTCATAGTAATTCCAATAATGTAGTGCTTTAAAGATTCATGAATAATAAATTTACTTTTTCCCAGTACATATTACAAATCTTTAACAAATCTTATTTAGAGATGTCTGGAATTTTAACATGTTCTATTCTAAAACAGAGAAGTAGACAGTTTTGTCGGAATTCCAGAAATGGGGATTAATTAGCAAAATGTATGTTAAAATTACTTGGCTTAGCTTAAATGTTCACAGGTACCTCTATTTTTCATAAAGAATTAAATGCCAAATGGTTAAGATTTCACATTCAGAGACAGCTGTAATAGAGAGTTCAAGAATTTTGTGTCCTGGTTGTGTATTTAAAATTCCCAGCTAAGAAGGAGAGAGACTGCTAGGAATGCTTTCCTTAGTCTAATGTTATTTATTGTTTATGGAAGTTGTTTGTCATTTAAGACATGAAGTGACCACTCCCCCAAAAGAAAGAATCAAGTTACAATCCATTATTTAATTTCATTTTTGATTATTTTTCTTTTTAATAGGTGGGAAAGTGGATCCAGGATAAAAGTCCTGCCCAAGACAAGACTCCAAGCTGAAAACTCCAATTATCTATAAATCACTTGTATTTCCTGCAGAGAAAGAGAAAAGAGAAGGAAGAGCGAGACAGAAAAACAGAGACAGAGGACATGCCAAGTGAAATAGTTGATGCCTGCCCTAAACCAAATTTCTCTAAAATCAACGAGGAGTTACCCAATATCTCCAAACCAAGCTTACAAGGAACACGCTGCTGTTGGTTTTGGCTTAATAATGAAACAAAACACCTTTTTTTTATTTGTTCCATTAATGTAAAATATGTAACATCTTTACATTTTTCTGAGATTATGGCACTATTTATTCTGAATTATTGAAGGTTACTATCCAGTTTCCATTCTCACAGATAGGAAGATAAGATTGCTGACGACTCTTACTTTTTCAGAGATTTTTAGAACCAATTTTCTAGTTTTAGAACGGACAAATGCAAGTACACTTACTATGCAAACTGAAATGCTACTCTCAGGTATTAGCCACCGAACACTCCAAAAGCACAATTTACATTGAAACTGGCAATAAACAAAATTCATGCCAAATACTATTTGCACAGTATGATTGCTCCCAAAGTGTAACACCACACATCAAATAACTACGTTCCTTATTTAAACTATTTTTAAAGAAATCAAATGCAAGAAATCATATGCATCTTTTCATTTGCATACTGCAGTTTGCATTAAAATGTAATGAAATCTGAAATAGTTTACTTTCCTCTGAAACGTTCTTCTAGAACAGGGAATTGCTGTAACAAATTAGAGGACAAATTAGTTTTGGCATCCACTTAAAAAAGAGAAAAGATGAAAAGCTTTTCAATTGATGATATGGAGGAAAAAATGACACTATATCAGCCAAAATGATTTTCCCATCAGCTTTAAAGCTCCTGAAATTGTACTTCCAGTAGATAAAAGTGTTAGCACCTTTTCCCAGTGTTGATGTGCTTATTGTTCCTATTAAGTTACTTGGTAATGAGAAACAGTCTGACACATCGTTATCTGTTTATACAACACATTTGAAACTTCTTCAACAGAAACTAAGACATTCTTTCACTGAAGACACAAAGATTCAAAATATATAAATAACTGTTAAAAACTCAGGTTGCATTTCCAAGCAAATGATTGTTCTTAAAGTCCATCTTAACCAACAAGAAGAATTTAATCACATAACACACTATAGAAAACCAGCAGATTTTTCTACATTGACCCAATGGGTTTGTTCTTAACCCTCTCTTTATTCAATTAGTCTTAAAGGCTAGTAGGAAAAACATATGTCCTCTTACAATACTATTCAAGAATCACAGAAGTTAGTAGAGAGACCTGTTCCAGTGCTGTAACAACTTGGTAGTATTAAAAGTCTTCCGGGAATTCTAAAAGAGCCCCTTGGGCATACAGGGTAATTCAAGAAAGAAAACATTTTTATTTTTTGATTGAGACACACAGATATGTGCAGTAACTTCCTCTCAAGCACATCAAAAGCAAACCAAACTTATTTGAGAACTACTGATTTTGCACTGAAAATAAACCCCAACAGCTCTGTAAAAAAATGCATTCAGAGAAGCAGCACAGCCAGTCCCAACAGACCTAATTTGCTTTCCTATTATCCTGTGGTTTTTCAGATGATTACAGGGGAAAAGTCCGTTTCCTTTACTACAGACTCAAGGCAGTCTTTTAGTAGTTTTTATCTCAACACTCGAACTGGTCAGAGTAGAATAAAACTCCTTTAAGCAAAATCCTTCTTTTGAAGGGAAAGCCATGAATTTTCTTGCCAGAACAAACGAATACAACTTACCTTGGTGTATTTGATTTCAAGGTTCAGAGTGGGAGAAGGCAGCAGATGCAGAGATGCCATCAGAGCTGCAGGATCTGCCTTCACCTCCCCTGGCATCTCAATTTTACTGGAAGTCATAGTCTCGGGGGGTTTTATAGCACCACCGAGCCCCCCGCTCTGACCTGATGTCGTGTTGTACTTTGGGCTGGTTCCCCCCCCCCTCCACAGACCGACGCTGAAGACGCTGCTCTCGTCCTCTGTATATAGGCAGGTGTCAAGCCGGGTCTCTTCTTATTGGACATGGGGGCAGAGGCAGGGGGGCAGGTCCATCCTACCTAGGGCGACCGCAGCACAGCCCCGCTCACTCGCGCGGCGTAGCCG